TCTCAGTTTGATGTTTCATAGTCAGGATGAGGTGCACAAAACACTTCCAATCAGCCCTGTAGATAAAGTGATCGGGGTTCATATGCAGAGAATTTTGGCTTGTTGAAACAAGTCTCCCACCCCTCCACCACCACCAATGTAAATCTGGGTCATTTTGTAATCTTTCTCTAACCATTTGGACTTCCTGATGGACTCCTCTCACTGTCTCAGCTCCCCTCTCCACAGTTCATGTCAGTCCAGGCATCCCAGCCTGCGTTTCCATCATCAGACGTCTTGAACCCATGTGATGCCCAGGCTCTAGTGTCTGGCGAGCTGCTGGAAGGAGATGGATTGGTCCATAATGTGCTGGGTGGAGTCGACATCCGGAGGGGGCACGGAGTCGTCATGCTGGAGGAAGGCAGTCGGATGGAACTGAAAACGGTTGCTGTGGACACCTGGCATGTCCAGGAGTTTGATGACAGTGAAATTCCTGTTGAGAGCACCGGGCAGCTTAACGAGGGAGACTCCTACGTCATCCGCTGGACATACTGCATCAACGCTGCTGGTTGGTGACATTCCTTTACCCTGCTTTTCTTTTCTTTACATCAGGAATATGCATTAAGAAGTGTAGCTTATTCTGTAGTTGGACAGCCATATCAATTAAATTCCTGAAATGTAAACATTAACAAAAATAAAATTTTTCACTCTGTGTTGTAGATAAGGGAAACCGCTTGGACAGTGTCGGCTGTCCTGGCCAAAAAAAACACACAGTCTTCTTTTTGTGGCAGGGCCGTCACTCCAGTGTCAGTGGACGTGACACTGCTGCTTTTCTGTCGATTGGGATGAACAAACACGAAGGATCACAGGTGAAAGAGGCTTTCAGATTTCAAGCATAAGGTGAAATGTAAAATGACTTGTGCTGTATAGTTATAGGAGTGTTATGTCTTGTTTTTTTTTTTTTTTTTTTTACTTCAAATAAATCTAAAATATTGAATTAGGGTTTTTAAAACTACTGTAATAAATGATTTTATAGCCTTTTCCACTACCGAACTATATACTTGCATTTCCAGTTTTGCCCCATTAGGACCGATGTCATTGTTTTTATTTATTTTATGAAGGTGGTTGTACCTCAGGGAAAAGAACCTCCCTGTTTCCTGCAGCTCTTCCAGGGAGGCCTGGTCATTCACAAGGGCAAGCGAGATGAAGCCTCCACTAAAGCAGGTCCAGTTAATTCAGGGTTTTGTGTTTGTTTGTGGTTTCCCCCCCCCCCTTTTCTTAGGACACATTTTGCATCTTCTGTTTTGAAATGTCACTTTTAATATCTTTGTCGTAGCAGAGTGGCGTCTGTTCTATGTGCGAGGGGAGCTCCCAGAGGAGGGATCTCTCTTAGAGGTGGACTGCTGCTGTGCAGGTCTGCGCTCCAGGGGCTCTGTTGTTCTGCTGAACGGCCGGCAGGGGGTGCTGTACCTTTGGACTGGTTGTAAAGCTCACAGCAGCTCTAGAGAGGTCGGCAAAAGGGCAGTGGAGCGTCTCTCACAAATGTAAGCTGCATATACTAGATGGGCTGTCAGAGGTTTGTACAATCCAGAGATGTTAACGCGTGTGTGTATGTATTAGGTGTCCACCAGAGTTGGATCTCAGCAAAAACAGTCCTGTGATGGTGCAGGTGCTGGAAGAAGGTTCAGAGCCTGCAGACTTCTGGACAGCATTGGGTCGGATGGACAGGAAGGCCTACGACTGCATGCTGCAAGGTAGAAAACAACCCTTTTTCTTTAGTTCTTTCCAACACAGTTTCTTCAACCCTGTAAACATTCAAACCATAAGAAGCTACATATCCATCTTCTGTCAGATCCAGGAAAATATAACTTCACACCTCGTCTCTTTCATCTGAGTGCCTCCTCTGGAAGCTTTCAGGCCGAAGAGCTGCACAGTCAAAGTCGGCTGCCAGGGCAAGTGATGGCAATGCCCTTTGTCCAGGAGAGCCTGTACTCTGCACCACAGCCAGGTGAGAGTAGATGCAAAAGGTACAGCAACTACAACACTCAAAGCTTTGGTCGTCTCCTCCTCTAATCACCAAGACAATTTGCTCAATTTTAATATTGAGCTTGAAGATTTATTATTCACCTTGGAAACTGCAGGTTTGTCTGTTCTTAGCACAAGGTCCAACCTTTCCAGAGCAACCGGCAACATCTCATGGATTTTGCTCAGTTTTCATGGAGATGGGTTTTCATATGACGAGCCAAAGATAAAACTGAGAAATTTTGCATTATTACTTTGCTCTGATCTTTGCTTTTGGGAAGAGAAAAAAAAAAGGGTCCAACTTGATGAACTCTAATTCCACTTTAACGTCTAATGTAATCCTTATCTCTCATCTGTCCTCCAGCGTTATTCCTGCTCGACAACCACCTGGAGGTTTACCTGTGGCAGAGGGGCCAGCCTGAGGAGACGGAGAACTCGGCTTCGGCCTGGAGCCGCTGGCATAATGAGCGGAGGTGTGCCATGCAGACGACACTGCAGTACTGCAAAGGTAAGAGGAAAATGTTTGACAGGGACAGCATGGGAATAAAGGCCTTGTTGATACTCTGGATTTAAAAATTTTTTTGCCTCCCCTCTCTCTCTGTTTCCAAGAGATCAACCCAAGAAGGCCACCACAGGCCTACCTTGTTTTGGAGGGCTCTGAGCCTCTCACCTTCACTAATGTGTTCCCACACTGGGAGAAGAACCTGGGACCGAACACTCAGGTACAAGCCCCACACAGTCAATCATCAGTCAGTTCATCAGAAACGAGGTTAAATGGTTGTGTAGTGCTGTGGTGTGTGTGTGTGTGTGTGTGTGTGTGTGTGTGCGCGCGCGTGGGGGGTGGGGAGTGACTTGGTTCTTTCTGTGAGAGTCGTGTGAAGATTCACAGCTTAACAGAAATGGTGAGAAATGTTCTTTTTTGCCAGTATTAATAATTAATACCAGATCAGCTGCTGCCAACATGATACAAGTTCCTTGCTGCCCACAGCTACAGTGCATACATAAAATCTATAAAACCTGCAGTGATATTATTTTATTTTAATTTTTTTTTCTTCACTCGCTGTATTTGCTCATTGGGGGTTTTTGTGGGGGTTGGAGAGGAATTCATCTGAAGCAAGCAGGGACAGAATATTCCATCCATATCGCTGAAGAAGTGAAAAGGGGTAACAGCTCTTTTTTTTTTTTGTTTTTGTT